ATAGAACCTGTATAAAAGCATTCGCAAATTTTACATAAAAACATCCCCACAGTCTAAGTATAAAGAATTCCCACATCTCTATGAAAACTGCAAACAAAGATGGCTCTTACCTGCAGTGTTGAGAGGGGATCCATCTTCTGAATTTGACCTTGAGTATTGAGAGCTAAAGAGGTGCTGGCGCTTTGGTTGGGTGGGAGGGGGGACTGGATAGCTAATGGGGAGGCCGGCTGGATGCCAAAACTGGAAAGACACACACAAGGGACGGGAGGAGAGGAGTGAGTGAGACACAGCTGCGAGAATGAATGACTGACACAGCGTCAAGCTTTAAACAATATTTCATTATAAGGTGTCCCATAGCATGTTCCTTGACATCAAAATTATACCTCTCACCGAGTGCTTACTTAATGGTACTCTTAAGTCCATAACATGATGTACATATCGTCATCAACTGTGCTGTGATAGTAGGAATGTCTGCTTATTTGTTAGCGTTAATCTAACGAGTATATATGCATGCACATTCATGAACATGTATTTTGCGTTTAGATGAACCTACTGTAAAGCATCTAAAGCTGTACCGTATGAAAGTGGCTGCTATATAAATTACCGGCATTATTATCATCATTATTATTACTAATATTCTTATAATTATAATTATTATTATTTGTGACATTACCTCTTTCTTAAGTTTTCTCTGCTCACAGATTCAAAACAGACCACAACTTATACGATTAGTTATAGTCTCTGGCTGTTTATTTCTATAACTTGTACTTTGAATGAACCCAGCATCTACCAATATCCATTCAAGAAAACCTTAGAGTCAAAAAGAGGAGAAAGTACCCCTTCAATAAAACAGATCTTATGTTTAACAAAACCAAAAACAAGCAACCTTCAACCTTAACAAATAGCTTTCACTACGAGCACAGGATTTTAGTACAGTGAGAAATGCATCCATCAGGGCGTTTGCCTTTTTTGCTTCGTTTAAGAATTTTATTTTAATAAGATAGGTGTTATACGTCCTGTTTTTGCCTTTTTAAACCACATAAATATCCACAGTGGCCAAGTATAGACATACCTGTTTTTGTTGAACTGAATGGCGAATCCCATGATGGGCTGCATGGCTTTGTTGGTGACTGTGAGCTCCATGAAGATCTGTTTGTTCCTGCGAGCATATGTGCCCGTCACTTCCATACCCTTGCCCTTAGAGGCTGCTAACCAGACCTAGGGAGAGATTTGAAGTTTTTGCTTTAGGAAGAGTTCCATACCTTTGCCTTTACAGGCCGTTAACCAAATTTAGGGAAAGAGTTTTAGTTTTAGAAAGTTTTGAGGCACTTGCACCAAAACATTTCATAAGTGCTGAAAATTTGAGGACCAAGAGAGTAACACACAAAGAAAACAAGGAAGAAAGATAAAGACCATTGATGTTTGACAGAAAACAAGGAGCAAACCACCAACCACTCACCTAGGGAAAGACACCATCAGATTCTGAGTATTCTCCTTAAATAATAAATTTTGGTGGCTTTCTGTTTTCTCATGTCTTTAGAGTCCAGCTCTCACATCCATACAAAAAGGTGCAAAATTATGAAGTGTGGTGTACTGGCAAACTATGTTATGTCATCTATTACATATCACCAATATCATTTCTCAATCACTCAAAATTAATTTCTCAGTGTTTCCCGATAGAACTGTTATTTGAATAATCACATCGAGGGGCAGCTCACAAGATAGTTCTGTTCTGTTTTGTTTTCTTCCAAAAATTTTTAATACAAAAATAACAAGTGCCCAAGTCATGGTTCTGATTCAGGCGCCCTCTTTGCCATTAATTTTCGCAGAGCTTCAAAAAAATGAGTTTGGCGCTTGTGAAACAATACTGACGACAGAACATGTTATGGTACAGTGCTTGAACAGAACACAATGAATCCCGAAAACAGTAGTAAACTGAAAGAAAATAAAGTCCTCTAATTTCTTCTATTTGAGCAACCTATCTAAACTGAAACCCCTTATTTTCCTCTATAAGAGCACCCCATCTAAACTGAAAACCCATTTAAACCAAAGAAGATCCGGCGGTCCTGCAGATTTCAATTCAAGTGGACCCCACTGTATTTAAAATAAGCGTACAGAGTTAATGCATTCATTCTTTTTTTTCTTTTTTGGGAGCCACTTACCTCTTGTGGGGGTACGTAAGAGGAGGATTGTGCAGCACTGCCGAAGATGTCGCTGAGACCACCCAGTGTGTCCATGCCTGTACCTCCACCACCAAGCTGTCAGGGGAGGGGAAAAAACACACGAGTATTATAATACATTTGTTCATTTATTTCCTCTTTTTCTGTTTGCTTTTCTATTTTTCAAAATGTAGTTTTAATAAGAGCTTCAGGAGAGGGATTCTGACTCCCAGCAGACAGAGACACTTGGATACTTGAGTAAAAAAAAAAAAAATCCCACACAGGAATCAAACTTACATCTCCTGCATGTAATAGAGGTAAATGTAACAGCTTCACCACAAATGCTGGTGAAGAACAGTTGTTGAAATGTTTCAATGTACAAAAGAGAAAGAAAGAAAGAATAACGAAAAGGGGGATAAAAAGAGAAAAAACTCACCAAATTATCGAGTCCCTCTCCCAGAAGGTCGACGGCGGCTGCGGGGGCGGGGCTGGGCTGTACCTGACTCATGATCTGCTGCTGCTGGTAGGCTGTGGGGCCGCCCATGTCCAGCAGGTCGCCGATCAGCGAGTCGGCCCCGGGGATGACGGTGGGTTGTGGCACAGCGGGGGCTGAGGTGTCTGCGACTGGTTCTGCGCCGGGTGTTTCGCCGCTGTGAAACACAAGTTTTGTTTCATCAAGATTTTAATTATGCCCCAGAGGTGCTAATTGGCTACAAATATAAATCCTATGGAAATGCACGTGTGAGGACTCAAAATCTACAGATCAAATTTGTGTAATACATCTTGTATCTATTAAGGTGCAATATGGCAAAAAAATCTAGACCCCTCTTCGATTGAGCACATATAAAATTAACGATTAATTATACGTTCATCAGATTAAAAGAAAATGATAATCTCTGGGTTAGCAAAAGAGTCGACGATATATAAGTGGTATCATGGTGAAATCAGGCGTTAATCCCCCCCCCCCCAAAAAAAAAGAAAATCAAAGAAAGAGACATTTTGACACCCATTTTACTGGTATACTGCCAAAGGAAAAAAAAGTATATATGTGCAGTTCCAAAGGGCACTCAAGCTGTGGAAGTAAAAACAACTCTTTAAGCTATTTTCTTGCTAATTTTACCCCTGACACCCAGTAACCTCACTTCCTTCAATTGCCAGTATCTTGACTTCTATTTAAAACAGGGGTATTTTCTTATCAAAAGCACGACAAGTGAACAAGCTTCAAGATGACAGCAATAACTCTCTATGCCCAAAACTGATGAGCCCCCTGATTCCACCGAGTTTTGACACACTGACAAAATGTCTTCTACTCACGACTGGTTGCGGGGCAGTGACTTCCTCAAGACTCCCCTGCCCTCCACGAAGGCGTTGGGAGGCTTGTGGTAGACGGAGGCCAGGCTGGCAATGTGGCAGATGAGCTCGTCCAGCAGCGTGGGCTCGATGAGGTCCGTCTCCTCTGAGATGAGGGGCTTCTCTGCCAGGACCACCTCCTTAGCCGCCCCAGGGTCAGTGGACAGCAGACGCCAGTAGATGTAGCCGCGGTCGCGGAGGTCTGGATTGTCACTGTCCTGAAGAAGGAAGGGCAAGGAAAAAATAAGGGCTTTCAGTTTCAGGATAATCTTTGTTCATCTTGTAGAGAGAAATTTGTGTCGGCCTTTCATAATGGCAGTGGCATTTATGTGCACTCAAGGATATAGACTCAGTAAATTCACCAAAAGTGGTTTCCCCCGCCAAAGTAGATCTTTAAACTTTCACGCTAAAATGTGTACGCTATGGCACACCAGTGAGAAAAGACAATCAAGGAATATCTGGGAAATAAATGTCTCAGGTTCAGTCTACAGCTTGTCAGTTTCTTCTCTCTCCACCTTTGTCTACACTACACTGACCACGCAAGCAACCACAATCTCCCTTACCACCATCACAGCAACTTGTTAAGACAACTGCAACACACACACACACCCACAACTGACCTGTGTGACCAAAGAAAGCACTTGCTGCACCAGCTACTGTGTGTTTGTGAAGGTCTCCAGGAACAATTTGACCACTCACAATTAACACCCCCCCCCCTTTCCCCCACACACACACACAAACACATACACTTCCCCACAAACACACACACAAAACCAACCTGCGTGGCCAGAGAGAGCACTTGTTGCACCAGCTCCTGTGTGTCTGTGGGTCGCTTCAGGAACAGTTTGACAATGGCGGTCAGCAGCTGCAACTGGACCTGGGTGTTCTCGTCCTGGAAGCCCTCCAGGAAGCTCTCCAGCAGCTCGTCCGCGTTGTCGATACGCTCGGCGTACTCCCCGATGATCCAGATCATGGACGCTCTGCCGACATATTATGAGTTGGCTTTTGTTTGACATGTCACAACTCAGCACAATGACATAATGACCGTCATACAGTGTTAGGAAGCACAGAGCGCAAGCTGCACATATCCACAGGTGAAAATGAAGCTTTTAACCCATTGATACCGGCAAACGCATAGGTACACACGCTACCTTTCATGACGGCAAACGCATTTGATACGCATGGCTTTGTTTTGTTCTGTCACGGGACGAGCACGGGACCGATAGACTTGGTATGTTCCATAATGGGTACCTCATCCATTTATAAATACTATCAATCAAAGTCAAGCTTAGAAATATGAATTATTATTGTGTTAAAAGCTTTTTGTAGACTACCCTATAAAATCAGAGGTCGTTAGCTCCTCTGAACAGCGAATTTTGCCGATTTTCGGGCCTTGGTTACGTGCGTTTCAATGCCGCCTACCCTATCATGTTTGGTACCGTCCGAAAGGTCATTCTTCCGCCCGTCATAAGAGTTCAAAATAGTCGTCGTAATATGACTCATCACTTTCCTATTCCCGCGGAAAGTAGCGTGGGGTATGAGAGTAATGCGTGCTCTCATTGGCTCGTTCTAAAACAATGACCGAGAGTGTCTATAATTAGCACCGGAAACCGCCGAAGGCTGATGTAATTACTAAAAATAATACCGAAAAGAAACCTGCGCATGCGCACAGCTTTACTTTTTGTCACATCCGTAAACAAGAATTCTCTTTCGCTTTCTCCCGGCTCGTCAAGTGCGTTACACGCTGATAGACTGTTTCACTGCGCTTGCGAGAATCTTTGCACAAAATGCAACGGAATCTTTTCAAGACGATATTTGAAAGGGAAACGATGTTGAGAATGGAGAGTTTAGCGACGGGATTGATGTGGAGGTGGACGGATCTGTTGAAGGCGCCCGTTGCGATTTGGAGGGATGCGTGCGGTTGTTCCGCTTTTATCAACCATGCAAGAAGACGGCGGCTAATACTAGATTTGGGGATTGTTTGACGACGCTGAGAACAAGTACGTCTTTTTTCAAGACCAGTGTTCTGAGGTGTGTATCCCCAGTATCCACCCTAGAATTACAGTTCTTTTCTCCAACTCTCTCATTGTTTCACTGTCTGCCCTCTCTCTGCCAGAAGACCATTGATTATAGGCCTACACTTGTATTCTTTTCTAAGAGTAAGTTGTAAATTCTGATTATATTTAGATCATAGATCTATACTTTTTTGTAAATGATTTGAGAAAATTACTAGATCTAGATCTAGTTGTTCAAAACTTTTCAATGTCTTGAATGTCTATTACGGCTTGGCGTTTTTATCATTACCTAGTGGTATTAGGCTATCAGTAGGGGGTTTCCTCATTCAAAACAGCCTCGATGTATCAGTTACAGCAAAAAAGAAAAAAAAAACTATCAGCGTCTGTGATGCCACTGCACACTGATGATTCTTATTTGATTCTTACAAATGGAAAATGTTATTTTATCCTGGGTTCTAGGATTTCGTCAAGGACTTCGCCTCGGGCCTGATTGCAGACAGCACGGACAACAAACAGCCTTGAAGCTTTGAAAGCTCCACATTTTGTATGAGAACAATGTGGTTGTTAGCAGATAAAAAAATGTTGTATTTGAGGGTTTTCAGTAGTACAATTTTTGGCTATTTTTGAGAAAAAACAACCTTGATTCAAATTACTCAAATTTTTCTAATATTCATTCAAATTGCACAAAAACCACATGAACACATTCACAATTCAATTCCTTTTATAAAAATATTTACTTTATGGGGGTTCAATCTTTAAATAACAGAGCTACAAGAGTTTTACTGAGGCTACCCCAGTTTGCTGGTCCATTTGCTGGAGCACAGGTAAAATGCCCAGTTCCTAGGGAGCAGCCCTCTGGCAAGGGCCTTAGTCAACAATGGGTTAAAAACACAAAATGTGGCAAACTCTTCTCTGCCACAATTGGCTTAATTCGTAAAAAATATTCTCCTCGGCAGATACATTGGATCAGCGTTAGACACTTAGGGCACTTTGTATTGTATGCTTTCCAGGAAGTTGAAATAGTGTCAAGCCAGTGTCGAATCTGAAGTGGTAATGAATTTGCCTTATAAAAATGCTATTCATTATTTAATATTATTTCTTCGTTCTTGTGCACACATAATACTAGAGAAGAAAACTGTCACTGACCTGGCCTCGGGTTCATCAAGGGTGTCCAGATTCTCACACAGAGTGGCGATGATGCTTTCATACTGGTTGGGGTACTTGCGGAAAATGTCCTGAAGAGAAAAAACCCCAAAAGAAATGAAGATACTAGGTGCTAATAATAGAGAGTAACACACAAAGAAAAAGTTGTCACTGTAGTTCTTAGTTTTAGTAAGAGTTTTACAGCACTTGCAACACAATCAGGTCATACAAATGCCAAAGCTTACAGGTGTTACAGGAGAGTAAAAAACACAAAATAAAAGAGAAGAGACAAAGATGACAGATGTCTGATAAGAAAGAAGGAAGAAACCACACCAGAGCACCCGCCAACCACCAACTCACAGTAAAGCTTGCCAACCTTTTTTTTATAGTCAACATCCACTAATGTCCCATTCAAGAAGCTAGAATTTCGGTACCGCCCACCAACACGTATTTCAAAATGGGGCATGAAAAATCACCTGTCACTACCTGGGTGATCCCCCATCCCTCACCCCATCAAATGGCCAACAAGTGGGCAATACCGCTGAGGCTAGCAAGCACTGTCTTACAAACATAAAGAAGCACAATACAAGCTTGTCGACTTTTGCTAACCCAATCAGAGACATCCGACGTTACAACATTAGATTACATATGACAACAAACACAATTACATCAAGTTGTTTTGGTTTATTAAGAGTTTTACTGCACTTGCAACATAATAAGGTCATATAAGTGCTGAAGATAAAGAGGCGTTGCAAGAGATTAACAAACACAAAAAAGGAGGAGGACAGACAAGGGCGATAGATGTTTGATAGGAAAGAAGGAGCAAACAAACCCCACCAAAGCACTTGCCAACTACCAGCACATCAAGTTGGGACAGGTTTTGGTGAAGTTTCATGTGATAAGGCTCTCAAACTCCTGACAGCCACATCCAGGACAGTCCCGAGAAAATCATGAAAGGACATAATTTGACAAGCTAGACAACAACAGGTCCCCCGCCACTCACCTTGATGACCACAATGGCTTCCTGCACCACGTAGTTGACCTTGGTCTGGATGAGGTCGAGCAGCGTGCTGACGCAGCGCTCGGCGGCCTCCTCCACCTTGATGGCGCAGCGACCGATGGCGCGCACTGACTTGCGCACAAAGTCCACGTCTACCTCAGTGGCGTACCTGGGGAGGGGAAAAGCAAGAGAATGCTACCACTAGACTGACATACGACACAATAAGAGTAATCCATTTGCTAGCTGTTAAAATGTATTCAACCCACGAAGCAAAATTTACAGGAGAGTAAAAAAAAAAATGTTTCATTCTTTTTTACAATTATACTTACATTATATTTATTTTTTATTGCTTTTTTTAACATTTAGAAGGTAAGAATTTACGTCTTGAGCACATGCAACTGGTTCAACGGGAAGTTGGTTTTTTTTATTATCAGGTTTTTTATCCACACTGATCTGTGTCTTTAGGAAGGATAAGTCATTGAAGAAATCTATATTTGTCATGGAACTCAGTAGGTCTGCGATAAGTCAAAGGATTATAGACTGAGACTTCTGTGCTTCAAACAGTGAAAAGCTTGAGCCTGTGTGCGGTTCTATAAAAGTAAAGTGGTTCCCGCTTCTGATCCGGACATTGGGGATTGCCTTGTTAGTGAGACAACTTCCTGGGCCTTTGGCATATTGTGGTAGGGTGGCCAGTTCCTTTCCACGCCGCCTTTACTTCCCCAACTTGAAGACAGGTACCCATTACTGTTGGGTGGGAAGGAGGGGACGAAAAAAATCTGTCCGAACCGAGGCTCGAACCCGAACTTTCTGCTTCGGAGATGAGCGCACTAACCGCTCCGCCACCGCACCCTCTATAACATGTTCTGTAACGTTCTATAATAATATTAATATAAACATTGCGTTTATATAGCACACATCCATGCTTTACAGCATGCTCTAAGAACTTTACCACTACCATTTCCCCAACAGACCCAGGAACATTCAGAAACATTCTCTGCTCCCCAGTGCAAGCAGACGATTAAGAGCTCAAACATAAACAAACTGACAAGATCTTTCCCTGTCAATAGCCAGGTGCCCATTCCAACCTGAGTGAAGAGAAGAAAATTCCTAAAAAGTGCCTTTTCCGAAAACGCAATGATCGGATCCAAACCCATAACTGTACAATTCAGAGTCCAAGAGCTTAACCACTAGACCACTGACACCACAGTACTCACTCTTTGAGCTCGGCCAGGACCTGAGCGATGTTCCCCTGGTTGGTCAGTCGGATCATGATGTCCAGTTTCTCCAGCTTCACGTAGATCGGGTCATTGTACTTTACAAAGAACACTTTCATCTCTGTCTTCAGGATGTCAGATCTGTGGAGATTTTAGTTTTCATAAGAGTTTAACATCACTTGCACACAAACAGGTATATAAAAGTGCCAAAGTTTAGAAGAGTTTTACAGCATTTACAATACAATTAGGTCACATAAGTGCAGAGGGTAAGAGGCATTACCAGAGAGTAAATACCAAAAAAAGGAGCGATAAGGACAATGACATTTGACACAAAAGAAGGAGCAAATCACACTAGAGCATCCGCCAACCACCTAAAATCTGTCAAGAGACTGAGTCACACGTTACAGCCAGTCAGCGTAACATAGACCCCACCCCCATATTGAGCTTACAATAGTTTACTCCCAAAACAAGCAAGCAAAAACACATATAAACACTCAGAAATTCACAGAAATACATATACGCACATTGTGTTGATGGGGACGTTAAAAAAACCCAACCGAGTTACATTTTAGTTTCAGTAAGCATTTTACAGCATTTACAACACAATAAGATCATTTAAGTGCCCAAGATTGGAGGCGTTACAAAATAGTAACAACCATAGAGTAGTTTTCAAAACTTTTTTTAACATGCACACGCAGAAATATACAGACACAAACAAACGTGTGGCCTATTCTCGTACCTCTTTTGCACAATGAGGTTGATGTTGCGCAGCGCCACATACTGAATCTCAGGCTCGGCGGACAGAAGGGTGACCAGTGGTGGTGACAGTTTCTTGACCAGAGTGGCCACGTAGTCCCCTTGGACGTTCAACATCTCCATATACTTCATCACAACCTAGATTGAAAAAAAAACACAGTCACAGACACCATGAAATAATTCTTTCACTGCCAAAGACTCCTGCGTATGTTGTCAAAAAAATTACGGATGGCATTTTTAAAGGAATTAAAAGCACTACATATTACAACATCATTTTTAAATAGTTGTACTAAGAGGTTTCACCCACAAGCTGTCTCACTACATAAATAAGTTCGAAATTAGTTGTCTTAGACAGATGGATGCCTTCGACAGTGTCATTATAATACATAAATTAAACTTAAAGTAGAAAGTGGGAGCCGGTTGTTCGTACAGGTGAATTCACTGTAAAAAGTCAATGGTTAAAAAAAACATCCTTTATATTCTTAAAAGAGTACTATCGTTGTTGGGAACTCACCTTGACAGCTGACAGGACAACAGCAGCGTTGGCGTGAGCCAGGCGGGGCGTCACTCTCTCACAAATGCTGAAACAATGAGGAAAAAAAATGTTTCAAAGACATGCTGTTGTCACTCCTCATTCTAGCTAAACCAACAATAAGACTTATTTCTTGAAAGTCAGTGCAACAGTTTCCTCGCTCCTTCTATCTCAAACAACATAAGCATAAGGCCAGCACAACAGTTTGCATATCACTAGCTCTTTCTAGCTCATACATCTTGAGCTCATTCCTTGAAAGCCAGCACAAGTTTGGTGGCTCTTTCTGGCTCATACAACATAAGTGTATTCCTTGAGAGCCGGCACAACAGTTTGCATCACAATAATACAAATCAGTTTACTTTTTGGGGGTTTTGTTAACAACTGCTAGTGCCAAATCTGAAATAAACATCAGCGAGCATGCATCACCAATCATTTTTCTTTCTTTTTATTTTTTTTAATGTGGGTGTTTTTATCCCATTATACCCCCATCAACAAAATCTAGATCACTGAGGAGGCAGGCTTGCGACCTTACCGGTCAGAGCTAACCTGGACTGAGAGGGATACAACATCAGAACAGAAAAACCGAGATACTTAATAAAATTTCTCCCAACTCAGGAAATCAAACTCAGGTCTCCTGCCTGTAACAGCCAAGCATCTAACTGCACCGCCACAGACAACAGTAATAATTTCTCTACTCCGACGAGAACTAATAGATGTGAATACCAACAGAAAAATTTAGCACTTAAATAGTTCTACAGCCTCTAAAAAAAAAAAGACATCCTGTGAAACAATTTTGAAGTTTGGAACCTCAAGCAACATCGCAATGATTGATCAGACACATTATTTTCCCTTGTGTCAGAAAACAATCCCCATAAGCACATAACACATAAACTCTTACCTCTGAGCTTCTTTCTCATCCTTCGGGTTGTAGTTGGAGATGGAGTCCAGAATGAACACTTGGCCCCATCTGTCCAGGAACAAAATAAAACATTGTTATGCAAAAGCCTGAATCCAGAACCAAATAAATAAAGCATGGTCATTTGGCAAGTGTTAATCACTGTGTAAACGTATGCTACGCTTAAAAGAATAACAAAACACATATATTTTAGATTTATATTTATCGGTGTGACATCAAAATCAATCTTAGAAACTTGACCTAGAAAACAGAACTGGACCAGTAGTATCAAAGGGATAAAAATGAAATACTTTCGAAAATTTTCGCTAGAGTGGATTCTACCAGAGGCAGAACTCAGAACCTTCAGATTATGATGATATTCTAACTTTACACGACACAGACTTCAACTTGATTCTTAAATAGAGAACAAAACGTTAAAAAACAATGAAATGAGCAGCACAGAAACAAACTGGTACAAGCAACACTGAAATATATATCATCCACTAACTGTTCAGATGTAGTAAGCCCATAAATTTGACATATTTCCTATGGCAGTTTCTTAACCAATGGTATCAGTTTCATCTGCTCAAGAAGAACTTTGAAAAAATGGAAAATTCTATGTTGAAAATAGCAAGAAAAGATACATAATTCAGGTACTATTGTAATAAGAATGAAATGGTATTTTTCTCTCTCCTGAAAAAAAAATGTCGCTTTCTGGGCTTAGCACTTTGCTGTCATGCAGCCAGCTGTACAAAATACCCCATCCAAACTTCTTGGGCCTAGCGCAGAACTGCGCCAGGAGATCGGAACGATAATTTTCACCAGCGCATTATTGCGCCAAGTGACTGCAAAGTGTTAATACATTTGAACAGTTCGTCGATGATTAGTGTGTGACGTACTCTGTGCACTCGTTCAGGGCAGTCAGCAGCTTGTTGATGGTTCCAGAGTTCATCTCCAGGTAGGGCTGGGCCGTGGAGGAAGCCTCCAGGATCTCAGAGATGGCTGCCACAGCATTGGCCACCACCTGTGTCAAAAGAACACAAAGGTCAGGGGGGGAAAAAACAAACAAAACCAAAAAAAAAGTAAAGAGGTGCATATCGACACAATAATGGTCATTTGGTGCAGGAGGAAAAAAGTAAGACATTCAGACAGAAACAACAGAGGTAGGTCAAGACGGTGGGCATTAGTAAAGTAACCCTTTCCAAACCCTACACACTCATTCTTGGATCGATAACAACATAACAACAACACTCATTCTTCCACATTCAATAAATTCATGCTACTCAAAGTAGACCTGCAACAACAGTTCTCTCCAAATTACTTATCAAATAGGCTTCCTTCTCGTTATTATTCACGAAACCCTTCTTGAGGGTTCACAATTTTTCTTTAGCATCGGTAAAGGCATGCGGAGCAATCCTTGAAAATAGAGAATGCATATTTTCCTATTTGAAAAAGGATATCTGTGCTAAGACCCTCAAAAATGTATTAAAAACACATTTTGTATAAACTGGCTGGCAGCTATACTATCGTATCAAAGCTCACCATGGGGTTGGAATCTGACAGCAAATCTTTGAGAGCTTCGAGGAAGCCTTGGTCTTCCACAAGCTGAGCATTGATGTCGTGCAGTTTGGCCACGCACACAGCCGCCGTCTTGCGCACGTAAGGGTCCTCATCCTTCAGGCACTTCCGCAGGGGCTCGCACAGATACTCGGTGATCTTGTCCACGCGGATGCAGCCCATCGTACGCACAGCCAGAGCACGGATCAGAGGGTTCGGATCTTCACAGTCCTGAATGCACAACAAATGATAGAACGTGAACAAACATGAACAACAAAAACTCTTTTTTTTTTCACCATAATTCTTTCTTGCTCAAGAGGATTTGAACTTTGTACTGTCCGTGAGTTCTGAGGGAGGATTTATAAAGTCATTACTTACCTTGAATTAAAACAAAAGAAAATTATAAGTCACATTTGTTTCTTTAGTACTAAAAAAAAGCAATGTCCATTCTCAAGACAATTCCTGAGAACATACATCTTGAGTCTGCAAAAAGACGTCACATTCATGTCCCAAGGACAACAAAACTCTTAATACTTTTATACATTCAAATTTTAACCACTGACTCAAAATGAATCTTACCATGCTATTTTGTTCCTTTTCTTAAATTTCTATCTTTAATAAATGTTTCTCCTTTAAGCAATTTTTTTATCTTTACTGTAAGTTAGCATTCCTACTTTTTACAAAAGTTTATTCTAGCTTAAATGATTAACACTATCAGCTACCAAAAACAACAAATTTTATGTCCTTTCTGTGAGTAGTTTTGCAATGTTTATCAGCCAAAAACCAAATCTCACTGACAAAGTCAATATAAATTAAAGTTGCACAACCAGATCCATTTCCACTCCCTCAACTCAGAGCCTAAAGAGTAAAATGCTACTCCTTGGCTCCTTCTTACTGTTGTCTTTCAGCCACACCCCTGATCTTCTGGAAGGAAAAATCTACACCTAGCCTTCTTGGACAAGGGCGAAAATTCTAGGAGGTCCCATGTGCAAGTTGCGCACATTAAATATCCCTTGGTGGTCTAAAATCGATAAGAGTAAGCTTCGGCAGCCACCGGAGCAAAATTTAAAATTTCCTATCAACTGAAAATGTTTAATGTGTCCCCCGCGCTCATATGACCTAAAGCAGTTGCTAGCACCGTAAAACACCTACCCCCTCGAAACAAAAGAGCCTGAAAGACTTTTCCAGTGTGAAAAACAATATTTTTCTTTGTCTACTCTTTCCTAATGTATCTGCAATAAATTGGTGGCTGAACCTGTCACTTTTGTATGCACCCCTATTAAAAAATACATTCAAGAAGACATGTTATGACTAAACTTTCTACTCACCCTCACAAATGTGTTGACAGAAATGATGGCCACATCTGGCTGTGTCTTCGCATAGTTCATCAAGTACAAGTACACCAGTTTCTTCAGCTCCAGGTTGTCCGTCTGCATGCAGTTGACCACATCCGCAAACAGTGCACTGGACACAAATATTAAGTTTTAATTCAATTTGAGCATTACCACTTTTTCGACTGTTTAGATAAGCAACATTCCAAAAGAAGGGCATGGAAGAAAATAAAGGAACATATAGTAGCAATGCCAATGAAAAATTGATTTTTCGCTTCAGCCCATTTTTATTGGGGACCTAAGAAAGAGTTTTTAATTTTAAGAATTATGCTTTTTGAAAGAAAAGTATCGGTTCATAAGTAAAAAAATTATGGGGTTGTTAAGGTCGGCAAAATATGAATGACCCACATATAGGAAAATACTCATAAACAGTGGACCACATAACAGTAGACGCCGTTAGAAAATCGACGACATCTCAGTAATTAATTGAAGTGTTAGAGAAGAAACTTGGCTACCCGATGTGTTTTTGGGTGGAGAAATCATTTCTGCAGTCAGATTTACTAACCATTTCGTAGTCATTTTGTTATAATTAGAAAATGTAAACTTTAGATGTCTTCGAAAGCTGGCAAAACATAAACAAAAATAATTTTCATATATGCAAATCTGTACAAAACATATATTTCTTAGCAATATTCTATAAAACTAAATTCCTTAAAGCTAGTATAAATGATGTACTGAAGCATGAGGTATATCAGTAGTCAGCGAGCAATGCATGAACATCAATGTATAAAAATGACTCATAAAAGAAAGACACACAACCTCAAACACCAACTTCCATTATTGCTTTGTATTTTCCTCCAATTTTCCAAGCCTTACCTGACATCCTTGCCTACAGTCATACTGGCAATAACTTTCTTCACAGCTTCCTTCTTCTTCTCCTTCTTGTCACTGTTCAGCTCTGCCTTCAGTTCAAATATTTCACCTGTGGGGGTTCACATCACAGCACACATATTATGCATTTACATTTTAAATGATAAAAAGATTTAAATATTCAACCACACTTCATCAACTTACTCTAAAGACCAAATATGTGATTTTTAAAAACCCATGCAGTCACTAAATTCCCTATTCCTCAACAACAACAACAACAAACAAAAAAAAAAACAAAACAAAACAAAAAAACAAAAAAACCACACACAAAAAACCAGACTTACAGATCATTTTTTGGCCTATCTTAGCATATAAAAATAATTTATGCTTTTTGGGGGGAAAAGAAAAGAAATTAAATGAAATTTCATAGTTAACACCCTATTTCAACATAGCAGACAACTATCTATAAAAGTCAGGACAGCTTGATTAGCACTTTTAACTCTAACATTGAAAATGTCTTTTTGACGACTTGTGCCAAAATCCTACATACAGCAGTGAGACAAGACTCAAAAGTCAGCTGACACAGAGTAAAATACATTTATCTGCCCATCAATTGTTTCTGAAGCAAGACTCATTTTGAAACCTGCTCAGATGAGCAAGTATGGGAAATTACTTAAATTTTCCTCACATCAACTCCTTATCTCCGGCAAGCCACTTCTAGAGCCTCGCGATCAGAACTTCCGTGCCAGAGAGCTGCTGGCCGCAACTCAGGCACATTCCTTTACAACTTCGGTATCAAATTATTTGTCGGTAATAGCCAAAATCAGATCTCTTTTACCGAGAGTCCATTCATTAGATGAATGGACTTTCACAATAGTAAATAGGTACATAAAATGTTTTGATTTAATGACCAATCTAGTGACATATGTCACTTTCAGATTTCGTACCAAAAGAGGGCCCCAACATAGGTTTACCCCCCTCGGAGATAAAAGAGTTAACACAACAAAACCCGCGTCTGCAATGTAGTGGTTAGGCGCTCCACTGTAACACGCACCCAACCCAAGTTCCATTCCCGAGTGAGGAGAAAATTTTCATCCAGTATCTCTGTCTTTCTGGAAGGACGTATCACTCTCAGCTTGGATTGACCCTGACAGACTACAGGCAGGGTCAGAGCCTGCCTCCTAACTGATCTAAACTGTTTCAATGGGGCATAAAAATATCTACATTTTAAAAAAACATTTTTTAAGCTAAAAAAAAAATAATTAAAAAATTATACGCACAGAGCTGTCATATGAGGAAGATACCTTCAGCTACATTTTGTCAAAAGACAGCTATCAGCAATACCAAAGATGTGTAACTACAAAAATAAATTATTTTTTAAAAAGTCTATTCAAGAGAAAAAAAACAAATCACACTAACCAGATAAATCTTTAACTCTATAAGCCCTGAGTTGTTTCCACCGTTTCCCGGAGGTTTTTTTTTCTACAGTCACCTAAACCTAGAGCACTATGCCTCATTATAACCCCAAAAGCTTGCCTCCAACTTCTACCTAGCGCTTTTTTTAAATGCTTAACCATTACTAAAAAAAAACTTGGTTCGTGAATAGTTCCGAAAAACAAGTAAAATCTAGCACTGTATAAAACGAAACAGTTGTCACTAGTACAGGACGCTAGCGTCCGATGGGGAACAGGGTTATTACCGCCGGAGGCTCCTTAGCATCCGATGGGGTTCAAAGAGTTAAAAGTATGCATTATTTATGAAATCTCTTAAACTTAAAGCTTACATTTTCTTTTGCGGAAAAGACAAAATATAAAATTTCCTTTAATAGTAAAGAAAATACATTCACTAACCTTTTTTGGTGGTTGTGAAGTACTTAGAGTCCGTCATGACTGTCGTTGCTTGCTGTACACAGCTTCAGTCAAATCTGGGTAGAAAAATTAGAAAATGTAAAAATACTAATTTACCTAATAAAGAACAGAGTCTAAGAAGGGGGTTAAACAATGACAATCCCTCACATAAATAAACTGACCGAGGCTTTCACATTGTACTTTGTATAGTTTAATCTTTTGAGTAAGGACTAGAGAACTGAAGAGCAGAAACAGAAAATATACGGCCAAGTCTATACGCACAATATGGTGTTTCTGTCCAAATATTGCTATACACGCACTATTTCTGACAAATATTGCTAAATAAGCACTATATATAGTGTTTCTATTAAAATATTGCTTTACGCACTATATACATGTATATAGTGTTTCTGTCCAAATATTGCTATACGCACTTTATGTGTTTCTGTCCAAATATTACTATAGGCACTCTCTGTGTTTCTGTCCAAATATTGCTATACGCATTGTACAGTGTTTCTGTCCAAATACTTCTGTACGCACTATAATTTTTAATGCTACTGACCTCTACCCCCAATATAATCTACATGATGCATTCCTAATTTAACAGCAACATATTCTCTTGTTGGTATTTCATTAGTATCGGAATTTTACCAAATAATATGTATTCAAGTCAAAAATGTGTGTGTGTGTGTGTGTGTGTGTGTGTGTGTGTGTGTGTGTGTGTGTGTGTGTGTGTGTGTGCATGTGTGTGTGTGTGTGTGAACAAGTCTTTGCGTTTCCTTTGAACATTCATTGCAAAAACTACACTTTAAACATGAACATAAAAGGCAATTTTTTTGTCATCCACAAGAACAGTGTTCACCTATTTATTTGTGAAATGTCATTTCTTTTAGATGATTTTGGAAAACGAAGTGTATACAGACCCGGTGACCGGGAACAAAGTCACGAAGTATACAGACCCGGTATGGGAACTCTTTCGTGATTTCAGAAAGTTTCAGCGCCCAAACCCGGTAGTGTGTGTGTGTGCGTGTGCGTGTGAGAGAGAGAGAGAGAGAGAGAGAGAGAGAGAGAGAGAGAGAGAGAGAGAGAGAGAGAGGGAGAGGGAGAGGGAGAGGGAGAGGGAGAGGGAGAGGGAGAGGGAGAGAGAGAGAGAGAGAGAGAGAGAGAGAGAGAGAGAGAGAGAGAGAGAGGATGACTGCTCGAGAGAAATTATGACATTGTTCTTTTCTTCAAATTGTGATTCCTCCAACTCCAAAACGGAGGAAAAAGACATCCGCAATCTTCATTTATATCTAGATCTAGGCTAACCTCGAAACTAGATCAATGATTTATTTCTGTCTGTCTAGATCTAGATCTAGCCTAGGCCATAGATATAGAAGAACCTAGGTCTACCCTGAGCCAAGAGGGCGCTGAAACTTTCCTAAATCACAACCGAGTTCCCCTAACGGGTCTGTATACTTTGTGACTTTGTTCCCGGTTACCGGGTCTGTATACACTCCCTTTGGAAAAAGTGGTCGCACATCTTCAGCCACCCTGTGGGCTACACATGTGGGAGTGATGTGCACATCTTGCACTTCCAGCTGTTTTGAAATGAGGTGTAATGAGTCCAATGCAAGACTGGTGAAACCATTTCCCACATGTGTCACATGTAATCATTCTTTCCTGGTCATTGTCAGAGAAACGACACACGCAGTACACAGTACACATTAACAAGACTGAGAATCTCTTGTTTGCAGAGCTTTACTTTCACGTCAGTAGACGGAAACGGAGAAAATTTATAGTTCTTGAGACATGATGCCAAATGAGGTCTCATCCTAGCCTGGTCATAGGCTTTACTTTTCAGATCCTCACCGATCAGTAGGTCTGCCGTAAAAGTGATGGCAAAGACGCCACAATCTTGCCCCCTAGTTATGTTGGATTTTAGCTTTAGTAAGAGTTTTACGGCACTTGCAACATTATAAGGTCACATAAGTGCCGAAAATAAAAAAGAAAGAGGGGAGACAAAGACGATAGACGTTAGATAGAAGGAAAGAAGAAGCAAACCACACCAGAGCACCCGCCAACCACCCACGTTGGACTGTTTCTCTGACCACTTTTATTGAAACACTCTCTGGGTTCATCATGGTAGCAACCTGCATGCTCAGTGATAATACTACGGCCATTCCATGAGCCATGGAATCATACAGATGCAGCTTAACCCTTAAAACCCTATACCGCTGGTAACCGCTGACGCCATATTTTCCTATACCGCTGGTCAACTTTATCGTTTAAATCCCAGTGCTAGAAACTCCAGATGACTCTGTTGCAAGCAGAAAGTACCAATAGTGTCATGAGAGCAGTTCTACACCGAAAGTTAGGAACCAGACCCCAATAATCAAATAATGATCTCCCAGTCGGATTTATCAATATATATATGACAGATGAAGTCAATTGCAATGTTCCGCATAACATCGATGATGATTTTGACGATAGTGGAAGTGGCAGGGGATCACCACTAGAGCTACCAGAGGCTAGATCTAAGACTGGGTCTAAAGATGATTTGACTGAAGTTGAGTCAGGGATCATACACAAGACTAAGCTCATAGAGTTGGTCCTAAAAACCAGTGTTATAACCTTTTCCCCTTTTGTCCAAACAGTGCATTCATGATATAAATAACATTTTCAAACTTCAGTAAAATCTAAAGTTCAACAATTAAAGACACAGTAAATAAAACAATGAACCAACCTAATTTTTTCTAGTGATCTCAATTTTAATTCAGGATTCTAGGGAGGTATGAAAAAAAGAATTCAGGGTTTTAAGGGTTAACATCGCCTCCAGAAGCAATGGTGACCCAATGATCTTCTTCTTCTTCTTCTTGTGTATAAATTTGGACTAGATCTAGATCTACTATTGTGCGTGTATAGCAATATTTGGACAGAAACACTTTAGTGCGTGTGTAGCCTATAGACACTCTCGAAATATATATACAGGTAAGATCTTTTATAAAACTGCAACCCAAAACCCAGACATCATATTTTGCTAAAACTAAAGCTAAATTACAGTAGTCTAATCGTATTATTCCCATCATATCATAAAAATTCACTAAGATTAAGTTTAAGAACAAAAAAATGAACTTTCATTAAACAATCAACATGAAGAGAAACTCGGTGTAGCTTACTTCTGACCTGGGAAACGGACAATAGAGCAGCTACTACATTACTTAGGTCTAATATCTAGTACAAGTAGTAAAGTGAGCAAGTGGTCGAATTAGTAGTTAGAGAGGCCGGTGATCTCATACACTTACGTTAAATTCTTCAATTGATTTTATTCCCTTTTCCCGTAACGAGCGACCACTTTAAAACAAGATCTAGATCTAGCTAATCTAGATAAATACTCAATGGCTTCCAAAATCATGATGGAAGACGGAAAACCACTGTTATACCATCTGTTCATGACAAAATTACGGTAGTTTGCGCATTTTTACGCCCAGTTCAAAGTTTTGAAGGTCTGAGTCGGGGATTAGTAGACTTTGGGAATTTAACATAGATCACCGAGAGGCCCTCTCAAAGTTCACCCCAAGCCCAATAATAATTCCAACAAATGACTGTTGACCCAAAATAGACTGGCTGGGCAATGGGCTGCTTGCCAATTTCTGACTTCAAAATAGATCAATTCCTTCTAACAGAAACCTTCCCAACAACTTGTTCAGAGCAATAGGCCTACTTTCAATGGACCTAAATTGAACGTCTGTGCCCAGCACAATATAGTATTGGTGTTCTGTGGTGCCCAGTGCTAGATCTAGACTAGACACGCCCCCTCCTGTGCCGGGCCCTGCCCATGCCATACTAAATTAAGACAGAGTTGGTTGATGTAGAATCTATTCCCACCCGGGTCCAGCAGGGTTAATAAAAACTGTACCTGCAACCAAAGATATCTAATTTCATCTTCTGGGTGTATAGTTAATTTTACCTGACTACATCCAGCAAAATAGATTAGTAGGCAGTAGTAAAGAACAAGAAGTGAATTGTACACACACAGCCTAGCCCAAAAAGCGCCGTGTTTTGATTCGAGACGAGTCGAGAATCTACACTAGAATCTAGATCTCTAGACAGTCACAGATCTGTTGCGTTTAACATGCTGCTGGCATACAACTTTAATCGCTTGTCAAGTGCATATTGCGAAATCATATAATAAATTTACTTACAAAATTGGTTAAGAGCTTTAAAATTAGTAATTGTCCAAAAAAATATCAGAAAATCAACTTTTGGCTCTGCCACACCTCCCTTTTCACTTCTTACCGGTGACAAATTATATGGAGGAGGAAACGGAAGTGTGCTGGTGCTGTGATGTGATGTTGGAAGGAAGGGCGAGTGGTTCTGCCAGATAGGCTTATGTAAACTAAAGAAAGAAAAAAAAGCAATACATACTCATTGCTGTTTTTCGGGGGCCCGGGGAAGGATGTTTACTGATGTTCATTTCTAGTTCTTGTGTGTTTACTCCTCTCTTTGTAAATTGTAGATTTTTGTACATAACTCTGCAAGGCCCTATACCACAATATTATTATAGGAAAGTCCACTGCCTTCATCGAAGACGTACTGCAAAAATCATCGCAAAGCATAATTATGATTTGAAAGGCTTTACCTGGCAATTGATAACCCAATAATTACATGGAGGGGGGGGGGGGTAATATTAGGCCTATGTTTACTAACAATCTTTTCTTATGTGTGTACTTCTCTTTGTAAACTGTAGATTTTTTTACGTAACTCTGCTAGGTCCTATACCGTATAAGAAAGTCCACTGCCTTCATCGAGGATGTAGAACCTACCGCAAAAAAATCATTGCACATTTGGCAGGCTTTACCTGACAATTGATAATCCGATGTAGATCTAGGCTAATTACCTACGAGTATGAAATTATTGGGGTAGAACGTGTTCATTGAGTTAATTGAAAGGACATGTGGTTGCAGAATGCACATATCAAAATACCCCGCTTGAAATAAAAAGAAAATGAATATATATATTTTTTTATTTCTTATATGAAAGATCAATTTGAGAAGGATTAGGACTCAAGTAGGCCGGTGGACGTCGTAATTGGTCTACTAAAAAAAATGTAGCTGAAACTGAAGGTGTATAATGAACTATATCATGGGACATGCTGTTTATTCAAACTCAAATGGCCCCGTACTCTGGGACTCTTCTCTCTGGTCTCATGGGTTTACATTACTGGAGGACTCACTTCACTTTCTCAATTTTGATGCAACGTGATTTCACCGTTTTGTGTCACGTTCATGTTATTATTGGTGTTTGGCCTGCGGACTTAATAGCCATTCTACAATAAGCCGAAGCTCCCAGTCTGGGCGGCTAGGGGTGTCTTTGAAACCACTCTCGACACATCGACAAAGAAAATTATAAATTTTGCTGATTAAAGCTGGCAAAATCAAAGGCAAACGAGGCAGTCGTAGACCCACTGCAACTATAATAATTATTCTTGGAAGGGATCCGATTCGAAGGTCTGCAGTTAATGGATGACCCGGGGGGTGGGGGTGTCAAGATGTGGTTTGAAAGCATCCGAACAAAGGAATGAATTAAATTACAGCGAACCATAATCGCCGACGGCAGATCTGGTCCTACTCGATGATGATGATGATGATGATGATGATGTTGATGACCGCATGTAATCTTAAGACTCTCCTTGTTAGACCCATTTCCCTGCTGCGATTACTATTATACAGCGCCCATTTAGTTTTTCTCTCATGTGCTCCCGAGGAAGCCCATACGAGGCGAAACGTTGAACTGTGTCTAGGCCTATTAAACAAATTATAAACATTTCATATTGTTATAGTTATTTTGTCTGAAAATCAAACAAGACTTTCCCCCCTACTCTGTTTTCGAGATGATGATGATGATGATGATGATGATGATGATGATGATGATGATGATGATGATTTTTTCCTTAATGGGCCTGGCGGACTTCACGAAGAAATCTTCGAGCGAGAGCGAGGCTCCTTTTCCGCTCCATTGTCAATATACTTAGAGGCACCTCCACTCGTCCAAATAACTCCATTCGAATGTTCCTGGACATTCAAACATATGTATGGCATCCTCCTTTCCTCCCTTTCATGGCCGCATCTTCGGCAACGTGGGCTGAGCTCTTCATTTACAAAGTTCTTATACCATTTCAAGCTCCAATGATGGTCCGACCACAGTCTCGCTAGCTCAACCTGGTCCCAGCGACAAGTGATACTTTGTTCCTGCTTATTGGAGTACCCAGAATACACATCTTCCAGGTGCTGGTACTTATCTCTGCATGGTGGGTCTCTGATTTCCCTCTTGATCATTGGAAAGACTCCTCTGTATGTTGTTGGTCGTCTGTCTCCTTCAATGTCTCTGGCTTCATTAGCAGCTTGGTCTGCTGCTTCATTTCCTTCGATTCCCACATGGCTTGGAATCCACTGGATTTTTATCGTGGCTGTGACTTCACTGAACTTGCGGGGCAAGTCATTTATGTCTGAGCAGTTGCTTAGCAGTCCCTTGCAGGGGGACTGATGCAGAGGGACTGCATGACTGTTAGTCAAGATCAGCAAATTTGTTCTACTGTGGCAATTGTCAGCAATCCATTGTGCAGCAGACATCATTGCCTGGTATTCCTCGTCAAAAGATGGTGTAAGGAATGCACCTTTAGTTTTAATGATTTCTGTTCGTGGTGGTTCATCGTTCATTATCACCACTGCTGCTGCTGCTCCACCTTCGCAGTATCCTGCGACAGCCGATCCATTGGTGAAAATTGTCATTTTGGCACCAACCTTTTTTATCACGTCCTCTTCAGCTTCACGTGCCTTTACATGATCATCACCTTTGCTCTTCACTCCTCTCAGTTCTGTCCGGATTTCGATTTCGCCAGGGGCCTCCATTGGACAAGCTCTCACCAGATTGATCGTTCATCGATTCTCTGCTTCAGTGGGGAGGTGATCTGCTGGATCAGCGCCCATCCGAAACCAACTTTATCTACTGTTTTTAGGCTTGACTGCTTGATCAAGGGCTTTCTTTCTAGGATGTTTGTCTGGAGTCTCTTACCCATCTCTACAGACTGGAGGCGTGTTCTTTTTGTATAGGTGGTGTAGTGCTCTGTTCTGGCCTCTTAGCGCGGCGCTTCTGTTGGTGTTGTTTTCAGCTGGCCTGATACAAGGCGGAGGGCTTTGTTTTATATTCTGTCCTGGGCCTTTGCACTAGTCTCACTCAGCCAAGGCTGCCACGCTGGGGCAGCTTAATCCATCTTGCTTTTCACAAACATCTGATATACCTTCTTGAACGACTCCTTACTCCAGCCCCATTTTGAGTTGCTGACAGCACCGATGACCTTCATTTTTGAGGATGCACTTTTGGACACTTCCTCAATGTGATTGTTTAAGATTAGCTGTCTATCCAGATGGACGCCCAGCAGACGTGAAGTGGGGTTGAATGGTATCTTTTTCCCTTAGATCTGAATTATTGGTTGCCACGTTGCCTCCTTCGCCCATGTTGAGAAGAAGCACTCCTCACTCTTGGTTGCATTCAAGGTAAGTTTCCGTTCTTTGCTCCATTTCCCAACCATGTCCACAATCAACTGTGTCTCTTCATTTGCATTTTCTCTCTTTGCGTGACTGGTCAATATTGTGCAGTCATCAGCGAACATTGAGTATGTCAGCTTGGCGGAGGTTAGTTGTTGTGAGTCAAGGTTTGGGAGGGATTCTGCAAGATTGTTTATGAAGAATATAAACAGCAGCGGTGATAGTACAGCTCTCTGTGGAAGCCCTTGCTTGAAATTCTGACTCTTGCTTGTTTCTCCATTTAAGCGAACACGGGCTTGTCTGTTTCTCAGGAAACCATGGATCCATTTGTTCGCACGCAACGAAACTCCCTTGTCAGCCATTGACAGTAGTAAATAGTTTTTCACGCCAAACCGTATAATATGCCTTGAAGTAGTCCAGCAGGACTAGGACTGATAGATGGATGTTGGCTTTTGTTGAAAACCATCCTCAATTCCTTGACAGATTCTGATGATCTGGTCGGTGCAGCTATGACCTTGGCGAAAGCCTGCCTGGGTATCTACAATCCATTCATTCTTCTCCGACAGGTAGTAAATTCTTTCAGAGTGCATCCTTTCTATAACTTTCACGACACAAGATGTCAAACTAATAGGTCGAAAGGATGTCATATCACTTGGTGACTTGCCAGCTTTCAATAGAGGAATTATAAGTGCCTTACGCCAGCCTTGTGGGCACGCTGCTTGGTTAAGCGACAGATTACATAATAATGCTGAGCAATTCTTTCAATGCGAGTAGGCCAAGCTCTTTTAGGAAAGGTGGTGGTATATCATCAGATATGATGATGATGATGGATGATGATGATGATGATGATGATGATGATGATGATGATGATGATGATGATGA